ATCACCTGCAATGCATTCCTCCAAATTAAGTGTCTGGGCAGCCAGGCTGGCTGTTATCACAGAAGGACCATCTACTCTGGAATTTGCCTCCCTCCCTCCCTCGCCTGACAGAGCTCACATCTGCTAACCTACAGGACACAGCAGAAAGCTCTTTTTTTTTTTTCTTTTCCAAGTGCCCTTTGTTTTAAAGTGCTGCCAGTGGAACACTGCAGGTTGCAGTTTGTTTTCTGAAGGGATTGTGGAGAGGGAGAACAGTCTTCCCTTGTCTCTGCAAAAGAAAGAAACTGTGCAATTAGAGTTCGATATGCACCTGAAGCATACGGCCTTTTTCTAGAGAAAAATAAAAGCTCAGAAGAAGACCACTGTCTAATTAAGGAAACATGGAGAGCAGGAGCAGCTCTAGAGGAGTTAGCCATTTCCTTTGACTGTCAACGCAGTATCCCTTTTGCTGCCCTGCAGTGATTTACCCCTAACTTCATATAGGGCACTACTCTTCATAGATGGGCTTTTTGTACCTTTTTAAGGCCAAAGCAAGGCTTTACTTCTGAGCTTGCTGCTCTTCATACTGGTTGTTATCCTGAAGAGCTGAGCTTTTTTTTCTCCTTTTATTTCTTATACTTTATCATGGTGCTAAGTAAAGTTATGGATCTATTAGAAAGGATTAGTTCTGTCCACAGCACTACTGTAGTGAGGTGGTTCTGGGCCCCATGGTGGAAGGATGAACAGATCGTTCATTGGCTGAGTTGTCTGTAACTTTTGGGTCCTGCAAAAGCAGAACGAGGGAGAACTGCTATTTCTGTTCTTTCTGAAAACTTGTATCCTTTCCTAGAGAAAGGGACAGGAATAAATATTTGCTTTTTGTGCTTAGCTACATTTCAGGAGCCAACTGGGATGAATCTGATATAAAGTATGTTTACATTTGAAAGGGTTTTTCCTGAAGCAGCGGGTCAGGAGGGTATATGGTGCATTTTCTCTCTTAAGCAAAGAAAACCATTCACTTTCTTACAGCTGGTAAAACAGCTGATCCTCTGCTTCAGTGGCTGCAGTGAGGGGTGGTCAGTGCTCCCATACCCTCACCCTGTAGGCAAGCAGACTCCTGGCAGGTAGGAGCAATAGATGGGGTAGGCGGGTGCTGCTCAGGAGGTGGTGTTAGCATCCCAAGTGCAATGAGTGCAATTCCCAGGAAGACACTGGGTAAGGAGGTGGCGAGCAGGGCTCAGCCTAGTAAACAATGTTTAGAGGAAGTGGAGCTGCACTGCATGGGGCACTTATGATCCCTAAAGGAATTTTGTACTACAGAGCAAAGTGAGAGCATTAGAGATGGACCCGCAGTGCTGAGAGCAGGGTGAGACACCACGAGCTCTGGTCACTGCTAGCTTGGTGCTTCCAGCTGTGCAAGCTCTGAGCGCATACCCTGGGTTTCACAAGTACTTTTATTCACAAGTACTAGGGGAAAAAAAAATACCAGCAAACCTACTCAGAGCCCTTTATTCTGTTGCTATTGATAGGCCAGTCCCTAATTAATGTGATGGTACTTTCCCATTCCCCTACCACTCTCCTTATTACATGCCCTTGGCAACATGAGAGGCGTATCTATTACTTAGTCATGAGGCACCCAGACCAGCTTGCTTTTGAAACTAAAGACTGTGTACCCCAGGCATACTGTATTTCTGATTTGCATATGGAAAAGGTAGTTAAAAAGCTGATGCCCCCATATTGCTGCAAGTCAAGTAGCAAAAGTAAATGATTTATCAAGCAAAGGTTACAACACCTGTGCCTTTTTGTCAACAGACACAGAGGATGCCAAGTCAAGTGTTTCTTCTAATAGCTCAAACAGAAATTCAGATTCAAATAACCCCCCCGATAGGACAATTACGTGGGGAGCCACCACAGTGACAGAGAGACGGATGGAGGAAGCAGAGGCAGCATCTGCAAAAGCAAACTGACGGAGAAGTGTGTAAGTGGCTGAAACCAGGCCTGCCCAGCAGCCCTTCTGGGGCTGTTGTGACTGAATCACGACTGACTTAAATCAGTTTCATTCCTGCTCTCTTCTGCACAGAGCTGTAGTCTGACTACAACCTTTGTTGATACAGGAATACAGCCTTTCTCTGAGTAAAATATTATATAAATTGTAAAACATTCCTTTAAGGGATCATATTTGATGCAATCTGACATAAATTAGAACACGCTGCTAATGGAAATGTCTACTGCTAATTTTTATAATGCCCATTAAGAAAGGCATGTACTGTTTTTGGTTGTTTAAAAACAGCACAGGACAGAATGATCCTTGCTCAAATCCAGCCACAGCGTTGTACATTTGTCTGCGATTTTATTCCAATGTTCTGTGAAAGCCCTTGAATGCCCATGTATGGGAAATGCGACTTCTGCAGAACGGCACTGTCACATCCCTGTGCACAGACCCACTTTTGCAGCACTTTAAGTCTAATAACTGTGATGTATAACCATTGCCTATAGACGAATGACCCGCCAGTGGGAAGAGAAAATCAAAGCAACCAAAATGCTGATCATAATGTCTCCTTCTAACTTGTAGCTGGACTGTAATCCTCCCCCCCCCCAACAAAAAAGAAAAGAGAATTCAGATATGGTCTTTGTTGTAACAGCAATAAAAAGTTGTTTAACCCTTACGTTGAAGCCTGACTTCTAGAAGCTGTGAGTGTTTGCTGCTTCCCCTTGTTGAAGGGAGCTGTGTGGCCTGACGGTTAGCGGTCCTCAGGACCCATATTTTAACCCCAGTCTGAATGTACTATAAAAACCCTGATGGAAAGCAGCCACCCCAGCTGCTTTTAATAACACAGCCCTATTTGTTTTTATATTTTCATTTTGAAAGTATCCTAAGTGATCCTCCTCATTTATACACTAACGTCCTGCAAAAACTATTACAAAAGGACGTCTTTGTTTAGAGGAACTCTAGGTAAATCCCCAATCGTTGCAGCCAGTATTTTTACCTCACTCTTCTGATTTAAAATGCGGTCAACTTCAGAGTTATTTCATGAATAAGTAGTGAGTTTTACTCCCTGATAAATTATATATTTAGTACCAAGTGGGTTGCGGTGGTGCAGCGATGTACAGAAGCACAGAGATGCGGCGGGAGCCGGAGCCTGGGAGTCACTCTCTTCCCCACTGCAGCATGTTTGACTTTAATTGAAAGCCATGCTCCAGTATTGTTTTTCATATTGCAGCACTGTTATTCACTATGCTGCATTATGGAGAGGCAGCTAAAGTAAGGCTAGAGCACTTAAAATGATTCAAGTCATAAATAAGGAGGAGAAGAGTTTACAGTCAACAAACTTCTCTGGGAAGCCGCTGCTGCAGGATGCAAGGAAGTTTAAAATATTTTTGGAGACTTCATGCTGTTGTGTCCTACTCCACGATCAATTTACCAACTAGTTGTTTTTCAAGTCCTCTGGAAAAGGTAACGTACCATTCTCCAAAGGGTTTCAAGTTTCCTGAGCTATGGAGGGAAAGACCAAATGCTTAAGGACTTTAGCAGCGTACCTAACCATTCCTGCTTCCTGCCTGCAGTGTATTTCTGTGTATTCCAGTTGTCCCCAGGACTGGAGAAATACGATTTAAACGTGAAGGCACACGAAAACTCATCACGTAAATGAACCGAACAAAGGAAGAGGCCTGAAACTGGGCTGCAGGCTGTATTTTGTTAACGCGTGAACAAAAATCAGAACCTGATGGGTTAAAGCCCCGCTCTGCACTGCCGGTGTACTTTCTTTGACCCTATTTAATGCAGAGAAGGTTGGAGATCCAATGTAGTTTAACCTGCGCTGTCGACAGAGCTATAAACTAAAGCCCCTAACAAATTGTACACAAAGAACAGATAGCAAGAAAACACGTTGTGTTGGTGGCTGCGTGGCTGCAGCCCTGCAAACTGAACACCCTGAGTGCTGAGTGCCCTGTGGTGCATTGGGAGCGTAGGTGCTGCCGTCACAACAAGGAGGGCTGCGGGTTGTGACAGCCATGAATCTGCACACTGATGAGGCAGATGGACAGAGATGACTGGAAACAACTTACAAGAGCCAAAAAGTAGTACTCCACAGTTTGCTGGTCCCCAAATTAATTGCTTATTAATTAGCACCGCCACCTCAACACAAATATTCCTGATGCTCGCCTTTGGAAGAATTGTAGCACAGTTAAGCAACCACTTCAAGCTACAAACTGCAGTTGTCCTAAAACACTGCTTCTACTCACTTTTTTATACCTTCTCCCCCACGATAACGTGATATTAAGCATTGCCTTAATTTTTTCAACATCTGGCTCAAATTAGCTGCTAACAAAACTGCCAACAACTATTTTCTTAATCGACCCTGGGAATTTGATACAGCTTGGAAAAAGCACATTTAAACCTTGTCCTTCTCCTAAAGAAACACAAATGTTTACTTGAGCTTCTGATTCGACCGTAGCAGGTCTATGAATTCAGCTAACCCAGCTTTATAGGCCTGCCTCCACCGGACTGTTTTCTCTTTGTGTAAGGAAACAGATGTGCTCACAATTACAGAACCGCCTGCTCGCTCAAACCCCCGTGCAAATGCCCAGCCAGGAATTTGAGGCTATTTTTTCTGAATGTGGAAGCCTTTGGCAAAGACTCCCACTGGGTTCAGGAGGGGACTGAGGTGCACGGTTACCTGACGGCTCTCTCTCAGCTCCTTTGGAATTGCAATTAAATGCACTGTCTAGGGAACAGCTCGGAGTCAAAGTCTGAAAACTGAGTCCTAGAGGAACAAAATGTGCACTAGCAGCAATATCTTAGAAAGCGAGAGAGATCTTTCCAGTCACAAAAGCAGCGTTATTGCTACGTAAGCCCAAAAAAAACACAACAGACAAACAAACTGCAAGTGACATTTCACTGTAGTTACTGAGACCATGTGGGTGAAGTGACAGCGGCAATGCGGCTGGCTCCGCGGGGACACGTTAGAGGACACTGAAGAAGAAGAGGCTGCAGGCATACAGAGAAGTTGAAAGCGGCCCACCTGAGTCTGTTGAGGGATATTTACAAAGCTTGGATCCCGTGGTCCAACACTGACGAATCGGTTTGCGGGGGAGGTGCTGGGTGTCGAGTAGGCTGTGAAGGGAAGGGACACATGCGTTGAGGAAGCGGCACTAGATTGCACACGAACAACACCAAAACACACCATCTCAGAGCCACCTAAGCAGATGTTTAACATAGAAATGTGCAAACGTTTTAGAGAGCGAGAGTTTGGTTTTAGACACTGGCAAGGCTCGGCCCTAATGACGGGGGCCATGTGAGAGCTGGGCCAGGGCTCCTTGCAGTAACAGGGCAGCGCCGTGGTGCTGGGAGAGGTGCAGTGGGAGCCTGGGGGTGGTCCTGGCATAGCACATGCATCCCTGCTCTCACTTTGCTACGTGGGGTCTTTCACAGAGGTTGCAAAGCAGTGAATTTACTGAAGTGCTCGCTAATTATTTCGTGCTAATCCAGCATTCTCTCTCGATGCAAAGTTTTGGTTTCCATACTGCTGTGGTCTGCACTCTCTAAAATGTTCACTTGATGTGTTTGACAAACTAGGAAGATCCTTTCGGTAAAAAATTAATGGGTTGCAGTTTCACTGGGTGGTAAGTGCAATCAGTCTGAAGGCTGAAGCTGCCTTTAAAAACTGGAATGGCTCCCATAAATGTAAAGCTATTAAATGCAATGCAAGCCAAGAACCCAGATTACTTCCAAACTTGAAGTACTTTAATGACTTTGTTGTTGCATTATATTCTCCACTGCAACCATCCACCAATGCCACGTACTTCCAAATTCAAAAGCTTTCAATGCATTTCAGTCTCCCTCTCATTTGAGAATCCCCCATGCAATCTTCTCCTCTGTTCAGTATTTGCATGTTCAGATCTAAATTGAAATAACCTAAATAGACCCCTTAATACCAACAGCGATTCCATCTATTTTAAATATATTTATGGGAATGCATTCTGCTGAATAAAATCCCCAGACAATCTAACTATCCAGTGAAGAGGGAAAAAAACAATGTCTAAAGAAAAGTTTTGTGCCAAATTCCAGTCAGGCTAAACATAATGTTCAGGCCTCAACACTACAGAAAGATGCAGTGAGTTAAGAGTCAGGGAAGACACTGAGCTGTCTGTGCAGACAAAGCCTGTTGCCTTTCTTACAGCAAAATGTTCGGCGAGGACTCATTGCGTTGGAGAAGTCTCTGGTTCAAGGCTGAACCAACCCAACAGTCCACATCATCCACTGCCCTCTCTAACAGAGATCAGAAGCAGATGCACAGGTTCTGATAAGAGCCACATCATTCACTTTCCCAAATTCTTTACCACCCTCTGATTACTTTCAGCTGAAGGACAGCCCTGTACTCCACTGCCTGCGGGGGATTTCCCACTGGTGAAAGTGCAGGCTGCCCACGCAAACTCCTGGCATCCCACAGATCCCTTTGGTGAGGGGTTCCCAAGTCTCCAGGAATGCAGAGCCCTTCCCTTGGCTCTCTACCTGAATCTCACAAACATTTCCGGATGCCTTCTTCTTCTCACAATTAAATGAGACAGCAGAAGTCACCCGAAGTCACCCAGGAACTGCACAGCCTCATTTCTTACTGATCTGAAGGGAGATAAGGCACTCTTGTCTTCCAGCAATGAATTTTCCCAGTTGTTTCTGGTGAGAGGAGCTTTAACTTCAGAACAGCTAACACTCTGCTATCCCTCACAAAAATCATGCAAGGACCACCTTTTCCTCTCACAGATTTAAAGGAATTTTTAAGAGCACTAGTTCATTTTTCCAAAATGATTTTACAAGTTGCACGTTGGAGTATCAACAACTACACTGGTTGTTATCCCTGTCTGCAAATCAATGAAGAAGTGAACCGAGTCCATTTGGTGAGTTGTTCTTGCCTTTCTGCAGTGTTAATTTGCTTAATAAATTTAAAGAAGCCAAAAGTTTGAAAGAATTAATCTCTGTTACTGGTGCCACATATAAAGATTTTTCTGCACTGTTTTAAAGTTTGGTTTGTTGTTTTTTTTTTTAATGTAAGTACTGAGCCCTGTGTCATGCAAGAACAAAAATTCCTTTCACAGTGGGGAAATCAGAAATCAGCCATATGCTGTTTGGTTCCTCTGGTGTACTTCTAGGGAAGCCAAAAGAATGGAGAGGCCATTCAACCCGTCAGAGCAGGTATGTCCCCACTCAGCAGGGAAGGAACTCAAGACCTTGTTTAGAGTTCCCTGTTGGCAGATACTTATGCCAACTGTGATATTTGGTAGAAAATCAATGGGAAACCATCAGAACGCTGTCTTAAACATCTTCTGCATGCAAACAGGTCCCAAAGCTTTTAAATAAAAAGTTCCATCAAGCTTTTCTGGGTGAATTACTTCGTACACCTTTCTTCCATAACGCTTCAAACTATGTTTAACTTCTTGAAAATATTCGGATGTCAGCGTGGTATTTCCTTAAGGGCACATAACTGCAGTGCTAGAGCCAAGAAGCAGAGCACTGGCACTATGGGGAACACACATGCAGAGCAGGCTTTGCACTGGGCTCTCCCAGGCTGCTGGACCCATTTCACTGCAAAATGTCCTGAGATGCTGGAGGATTTAACTGGTCGTTTTGGCTCAGAATGTTACATTGACAAGGAATGATTCTTAGCAGTGACTTCTGTTACAGCACAGGGAACCGGTCAGAAAAGGGAGCAGTACCCAGTATTGCTGAGACAGTCTTCTTGCCATTTCTTAGAGTCCTGGTGTGTATACCCTCGTTTGACATGGAGGTAGGATTCCTGAAAGTCCTGCTTCTCCTGATCTCAGTATTCAGCCCTGAGATTAACCACTCTCAATGGTTTATGCTTAGTTATATTGTTTTGTGGTATGCCCAGATACCCTAGCCCTGTCGTGGGATCTTTATGCTCCTTTTTACGAAAGGGAAAAGCCACAGCAAGGAAAGGAACAGAAGCCAGGTCTCTGAGGCAGATCTCCTGATCTCTATCAGCTTTGCTCTGTGGGAATTGCACAAACCTGGGCAGTTTACAGTAGCCCACAGGTAGCCTGCTGGGCTTGAGTAGGAACATCTTCCTGCCCAGCCTAGTCTTCCTGCTACTAGAATTCACTGAGGGTTGTTTGCAACATCATAGCCCAGAGCCAAGGAAATGAATGTGATGCCACAAATTTGCTATGATGCTTCACTTCAGGAACAAGGAAAACAGGAGCTGGCAGGGAAAGAACATTTGCTCACACAGACAGCTTTGATATTTAGCCAAAATGGCAAGAAATTGTATGAAAGACAAGACAAACAAACAGTTTTGGGAATGTCATGTATTTTGAAATTGTCGGCAGTAGCTGAATGCTAATTCAAAATATACTTTCCTGAAATCATTTCTATGAAGTATAAATGTATTTTGTTTATCAATTCTGGATTGAAAAGAAAAACTTTTGGTCGATAATCTGGATGAGCAATAATCTAATGAACCACTATGTCTGTCTTTCACAGACCAAGTCAACAGGTGATAGGAAAAGCTGTACTCTTTGCAGAGGACCGGGAGCCAGTTTTGCAGTTGTGGAATTGTAGTGAGAGAATTAACTGGAGGAACACGGTGCAATACAGCAATTCCTACCACAATGCACTCTGCAGCTGAGTATCTTAGAGGGAACTGCACATGCTAACAAATTAAGTGATACAGTCATCACCCTCTTTTTTATGGATGGGGAAAAGAGCGAACAGAAAGCTGAAATGGCTTGCCCAGGGGGGGCTCAGTCAATGCACAGCAGAGAAGGGGAGAGAAATCCAATCTGATTATGAATCCAGTACTACAGCCACCAGATCATTCTTCTCATCCTGACACAAATGCTGTTTAACACGAAAACTCCTTTGTGCTAAGGGACATTATCTGATAACAATCTTGCCCAACAAGGGAAAATAGCAAAGTTTTTCCACGTGCAGAATTGTGAACCTCAGAAAACGACATTTAGTTAAAAAAATGCTCTTAGCGATGATGGTGCACAGGATGGCAATATCTTAAGACTACAAATGGGAATGAGGGCCACAGATTCTAATGCACAGATTCACTTGTGATAGCAATAGAGCCCAACTGGCATGTAGTAAGTGGTGCTTTCTTTGGGCAATGAGATATCAAGCCCAGAAAATTGTCCGGCTTGAGAAAATATTGTTTTGTGTTTGTTATGGGATACCAACAAAAGATCAGATCTGAAATAAGATTGTAATTCTGGGGCTGCGCCTGATATTAAGGATGTGTTCTATTGGGATGGCTTTTTATGGAGGACAAACGAATCCTCCTAAACCTCGTGAAACCCATCTCCGTTGTGTCATCTCACTGAGGAAAATGCTGGCTTTCCAAAGGGACGGGATGTGCAGCTGAAGTGCTCAACTCCCAGAGCACGCCTGGCCACCCAGTAGCGGCAAATCCCCAGTGTGCATCTCCAGGGGCTCTTCCTTCCTCGGACAGTGCTAATGTTCGTGTTTCGGTTAATGTTACAGCTGGAGAGTTTCACTGTTGCTCCGAGAATCATTAACCACCTTGTTGTGATTTTTAGCTCTCATTCCCGGGAGGCCATGCTGTATTGAACAGCTGCTCCTGGCTCCTGCACCCCTCAGGAGGGCCATATTCCAATTTTTGGTAGGGCCATAACTGTATTTTGTTTCTGCAGAGGGCTTTTTTTTGCTAGACCAAAAAAGGGAAGGAGAATGGAGCAAATGCCAACCCTTTTCACTCCATTTCCTTGGGTGGTGGTGGCGGGGGGTGCTTCATTCTCCTCTACACAGCTAAGGAGAGAGTCTGGCCAAAATCTAACATCACTCCTCTCTTTGTTGCATAAGTGACTTTCCAATATCCTAGAGCTCTGCAGGGCAGTCAGCCATAACCCACAGACACTCCCGAACCGGTGCGCTCGAGCAGCCCATCACCATGGAAAACACCTTTTTGTGCAGCTTTTATGAAACTCTGGTGAATCTGCACTTGCTGTTTGTAGGCTAATATTTAGTTAGGAAAAAATAAACACCAGCATAAATGGAGGGTTGGTACTGATTGACACACTGAATGATGTCCAGTGGGCCCTTACTGAAAGGCTAGGCACTTTGCATTGTCCTTCTCTTTATGTAGCCAGCCACTTCCACTGGCTTTAGTATGTATGCAATGGCTTTTTTTTTCCTTAAAAAGCATTTCCTACAGTCTACTTTTCTGTAAAACTTGTCCCTAAATTAAATTATATGCTTCTTTACAACTCAATTCACTATTATCCAAAACCCTTGTTTCTTACCAGAAGGAAGATGCATGCCTGACTATGTACAGAGCTATATGTTTAGATATCAGCGTAGCTAATTAACAAACAGTAATTATTTTCCTAATCCTTTGTTTAAATACCATTAACTAGCCACTCTTGAGAAAACCTCCATTCCCAATTAATGCGGCAGCTGTCTGCTGAACACTGAGCCACAGTGACCAGCCTAAGCCGACACCAATGGCGGTGTTCTGCTAACTTCAGTGGACCAATGCCAATTTTTATGCCAGCTGAGAATCAGGCCAACAGGCCTTTAGCTTGTTTACATGATCACAGTATCACAAAAAAATCGGTATTAAGATTACTGCCGAAATGATGTTGGGATTTTTCTTTCCTTTTAGACACCACACACTGCCAGTAAACTGAGTCACAACTGTGATGACAAATATACATTGACCTACTTTCGTTTTTCCCAGTTCTGAAGACCAGGAAATTGTAAGGCATTGCTGACTCTATGAAGTGATAACATGACTAAACATTAACCTTTTAGATTCTGCTGCTGCATCTTAGCGACAGGCCTTAGAAGATGGTATCTCCCGTCAGAAAGCATCAAAACTTCCTGATAGCACAAGTGTTGGTCTAAGGTCAGAAAGAAGAGTGGAGGGGAGGGAATGAATCAACTGCTTGTTTCAATGAAAATTTTCTGATCAGTTCTAGAAGTCCTGATTCTAGAAGATCACATTCGCAATCTTACCAGACTGTCTCATACTAAAACCCATTTGATTTTCTGAGCAAGCTGGGGCATCTTGCTTAGTTTGCGGTTGCGTACTTTTGCAGAGCAGAAGGCAATGCAAACCTCTAAGAACGACTGGGTTTATAAAACGCCCCACGGAACCTGAGCAAATCTCCTGAACAGGATATAAAGGTTTGAAAGTTTCAGCTTCACACGTTCTGAATAGTGAATCCCTCTTTTTGCATCGAGCAGCAGTTGCATATAGCATTTAGATAATAAGCCTGAAAAGCACACAAAGGGATTTGCTCTTTCGATTAGATTGATTTTTGTTTGTGGATGTTATTTGGACACCCTTCACTGTGGAACAAGTCCCCTACAGTTGCCATTAAAGCATTGAAAGCTTCCCTTTTGTTTTTAAATGTCAGTTTGAGCACAGCTTCATTAAATCATTTCACAATTAACTCCCTGCACATCCAGACTTTTTTAAAACATCAAGCCCAGCTGAATTGCATTTGTTTCCCAGCAGAGTGAGTCCAAAGTGGTATCCTCAAGTGTGTATCCAGGAATTTGTATATTTGACTTGTGGCTACACAAAATACATATGGGAGCCGTGTGGGTGGTGGAGAGAGGATGAAAGCTTTCTCCCTGGGCCTAAGAAATACCATAGCTTGCCCAAAACGCAGGGCTCGGGAACCACGTCGTACGGGAAAGACGTCTGGGTTAGTCTAAGAAGACTTATTCCCAAAAGAACTATAAATGAACAGAACTCAAAAGAGTTAGTTTAGACAGTATGTGTAAGCATTAATGCTTTCTGTGAGGCTGTCTGATTTCTGCGTAGTATCTAAGCTCTAAAGTCTGTTCTCGAGATACCAAACTGCCTCCTCGTACCTATAAGGTCCCAGCTTCGTGACCTAACTTTGCTACAGGCTTTGATTTCTCTTGCAGGTAGTTATGTGAAATGCCAACAAAATCAGAGACAAAACCACGACCTTCAGCTAACTCTCTTCTCACAGATAAAAAACAAGCTAAGAGTTTGGTCACTCATACAGAGAGCAGAGAGCTGCACTATGACCTCCGAGCTAGTCCAGTCCTCATCTCTGACCAGGAGATAGAGGATGACGGCAGCACGCTGTGTGCTGCTGTCAGCCCTTGCTTCCCGCTGCGTCTATACTTACTTGGAGAAGTGGGAGAGGTGGCCCCTCCTTCTGTTGATGTAGTTGGAGGTTTTGTGTCTGGCACTGGCAGAGGCACAGGCCTAGCCATTGGTGGCGGAGGTGGTGGTGGCAACATTGGGGTAGGAAGGAATGGATTGTGCACCTTGCCTTGGCTGCTACCATTGGGCTGCCGAAAAACAAGCAAACAGACAGAAATTATACTAAAAACCAGCTATTTGGAACCTCCAGTAATAACAGTCCAGTTTCAAACTATGTGCACTATATTTACAATTACTTTAGAAAAGAGGTGGCAAAGAGAGCTGTTTCTAATTCTCCATTGATTTCAAGGAACATTGTTTCAAGCCCTGTGAGCCCTGCGAAACTATGGAAATTCTCACTGTTAAACACGTATCCTAGTAGCAACGGGCCTGAGGTGCTCTGGATTAAATCCTACCACTCTTTACCTTTCCTGCAGCCCCTCACTCATGCTTAGCAAGCATTTCGGCAGTATTTTCAACCCCTTGCATGTCCCATATCTGTGCCTCTGCTACACCCTTAGGATATCAGTGCCTAGGACTCGAGTGTAAATTTCTTAAAGATATTGCTCATTAAAAGGAAAAATAAGCATTTCTGGTGGTCTTAAAAGTCACGCTGATATCTTATTACAGGAAAAATGAATGTGTGTGTACTGGAGCAACTGCACTCCCACATCCCTTCTGAGTTAGCGGTGGTGCAGCTCGCAGGTTAGTAGCCATTATGATTCCAGGGAGAAACAGCTGAACTTAGATCTGCCTCACTCTGCACATTAGGAAAAATCCCTCTGTGTATTCAGGCTGCGATGTGGTCAGTCCCAGGCAGAATGGGCCTAGCCGTGTGAGTGCTGGCTTTCAATTAATCATCTGAAAAACCTGTCCGTACGTGAATGCTCTCTCAAGCATCACAAAACCAAGAAGAGGCCTTGGAAAAACAATGCCACCCTTCCCCCTTCCACGTTGTGGCATTTACGTTTTAATACAGCCCGGACACTTGAAAACCATATGCAGAGAGATGCCAAATGCCGTCATAAAGAGAAAGTAGGACAGCCCGTGAATCAGGTGTTCCATTTTAGTGACAAAAATGAGATCACTTTCGACGGCACTCTGCAAATTGATCTCAGTGCAGTTCTTCTGGCTCTGAGCATTTGCTTTTCCGTCGATGATAAAAGCTCGGCTTTAAACAGATCCATATTCTAAGTACTGCTAAATAAAATAATATTTTAATTCCTGTTAGGGTTTCCATTAGCCTGAATTACTGGGGACAAAACACTCATCCTGGCAAGCACTTGGGACCTCATTTTCATTTCACCTGCTTTGGCACTGACAAAAAGCCTTAAAGTTGCGTAGGTGCAAATCACACCCGTGCTAGAGCAAAAATGGTTTAGGGCATAAATAAAACTCCAATTCATCCGCATTTTACTTAGCAGCACTCCTACTGACTTCAAAGACTGCAGTTCCCAGTGTTTGCACTAAGAAGCAATCCTTCAGGGATATTTATTTTTCCAACATCCAGTGCCATTAATAAACTAACATATTAGTGACATCTCTCAAACACTATCTTGTCTCACAATTAGGTCCCCTTATTTTGCCAGGAAGACCCCTGCTGTATGTCCATCGTGAGTGTGCTAACAGTTCATAATGCTGAATGGTTTGGGATAAATTAAGCAAATGAATACTCAAGGAAAAAGAAAAGCACTGTATTGATTTGTTGTCTAGACATAAATGTATCTGCTAACATATTGCAGACATTATTCAAAGCCAGTCCTGGCTGGAATAAGTAGAGTCGGTTTTTCTGCTAGGGAAAGGAAAGCACCGAGGACAATATAGCTTATTAAATAAGTGTAATAAATTAGATGCTAATAATTAAACTAATTCTCATTAACGCTTTCAATCCTACGTATGTAAGAAAGAAACAGTCATTTTGTCAGTTATTACTTCATTGGCTGGAAAAAGTTGCAGGCATTACACTTCATGAAATATTCAGAGCATTATTTTAGGTACGATTTACATAAAATTTATAAATTCTGTACTTGACCGGAATGCTATTTCAATAATAGAAAGATGATTCACTTTATTTGATTAAAAAAATGAAAATGGTTACTTGAAGCTTTGGAACTCTGCTTAATTTTTCATAGAGATAAGGGGAAAAGATAACTGCTTACAGAAATAACAAACCATAATAAACTGTACTTTTAACATCTTGAGTTCAAGTACTGGTCAACTTGATCTAAAGTGCTATAAGGCAGTATTTTTTTTTTTTTTTTTAATGAACTTAGCTGATCTGAAACATCTGTTTCTCACCCTCCCTTTTCCTGCTCCTTCCCCCAACTCGCTCTCCCCTGAACTTCAGAAATAATTAATAAAAATTATTCTGCCTTTATATTTTGTTAACCCTCGTTCCACTGGGGTTACAGTGCATGCAGCACAGCCATTTGTGGGGGGACCAGAAGGTCACTGTGTCGCTGCCTCCCCCGACACTTCAAGTCGAATTCACCACAGTGCGGTCGAGAGGGTTTTGCTGCTCTGCTTTTTATTTTATTTTATTTTTTTACAACATTTTTTGCCACGGCAGCGTTTGTTTTTCCTCCCAACGATAACTCAAGGTGTGCTCCTGTGAGCAACATGCTGTTAAAATAATCCCGTTAGCCCACGATTCATTTTACATAGGACAAACACTTCTGAAGAAATAAAAACGGCTTCCTTACATTTAGGAACCCCACCTGTCCAGCCTGCTGACCAGCGTCGGGGCAGACAAGTTGGACAAACTCTTTCAGAGTCTCCTGAGGATGATAGCGGATTGCTGGGTGTGAGAAGTATGGCCCAGGCTGTTGGATAATGGGTGATGTTGGAAAATGAAGAGTCGATGGTGTTGCATGTGGACTTGCTATAGGAAAGAAAACAAAGAAGTTATAGAGAGTTTTGCCTTTGGAAAAGAAAACAATTCAAATCTACCGTAATCTTTTTTTTTTTTTAAGCCTTTTTCAAAACGGTACCGTACTGCTTACGCATCTGATCTTCACAATTAATATATCAGACCACATTGTGTCCTACGCTCACTCCATCCAGACCCTGGGAGCAAACGCAGCCAGATGTTCTAAAGGATTTGCTGGGTTTTTAGTGGACGTGGAGAAAGAAATCAGCAGCCCTTTGTGAATGTGAAAACTGTTCATCACTTTAAGAGCAGCCCCAATCAATCAGGCAATAAAAAATGTATTTGGGAAATTAGGGTTGATTTAATTGGCATTTCATGTAACTTGGATTTGCACATAGGAATCCATTTGGTATTGTACCGTAAATGGTTGGTAATTTAAAGATGCTCTAACACTTCTTGTTGCTTTTTTTTTCCATCTCGGTTTAGGAACATTTATTTTAAGTAATCTGTTTTCATCTAATGAACATGCACAAAGTGGCAAGATCATTTTGAAAATTACATTTACATTACTCCTGAATAATGTTAGGCTCAAATCTTCCACAAGCTTCCAGCCTGCACTCATGGATGAGGTTTAATTTGGTGAATTTATAGGCCAACGAGCCGGCCATGAAAAAGAGAGCTGAAAAACGTGCTGGAGTGAAGGTACAGAGTGTAATGCACACAAGCCCATTGCCAATGACAGATTTTACCTCGGCCGATTCCAGCAGAGCTACAAGTGCAGCTGAAGGCAGACTTACGCTCTCCTACCTCATGTGGCACCCTCGTCCTTTGAGACAGACTGGGACGCACCCTCATTAGTCAACAGTGCTTGCCACTTCTCACCATCACCACGAGGCAGCGACGCTGCTGTTCACAGCACTGTGACTTTTCCCTTTCCCCTATAAAATGGGAATTTGCTCTCTCTTTACAGTGGCCAGCTGATGGGCTGAGCACAAGCTCCTCTGTAAATCACAGTTTATTTCTCACCCTGCAGTGATCACTGTATCCCTGTGCTCCCTTCGTGCTGTCCTGGTAGTCCTTCAGGGCTGTCCACGTGCATTTACTGCACTTGTTCACCACGCGTACCCCGTTAGATAAAGGCTGAGCAAGGCAGGCAATGTCCTACAGAAACTTGCGTGTTGGCTTTCTACTAAGTTAAATACACAAGGGGACAACAAAAGCCTTTGGCACTTTTGGAACAATTGCAGAGATGCAGGAAAGTTAACCAATCAAATACAGACAAGCAAACACCCGTTGCATGACAAATGTCATGAAAAAGCTTCACATGAATAAAAACTGAGATATGCTTCTTAGTCTTGATCATCACCACTTTGATAACATGACACTTTACTATAATTTTGTTCTTAGCTTGCTAAGCCATTAATATAATCAGAGCCTGAAGATGTGTATAAAGCACATCCTCAGAGAGAGCAGCAAGGAATCCTACCACTTTACCCTATAAGCTTTCATTAAGGGTTGGATGGGCAGCACTGCTAAACCCAGCTTTCTACCCAACAAGAATGGTTGCCTCAACACCCATGAAAAAGAGCTGCACTCGTGCCTGTGTGCTGACATGGGATGGACACAAAGCTGGGGAATGCTCACAGCTATCCCACAGCCAAGGCCAATACCTGAGTGCACAGCCTGCTCAATCTGTCTGCACTGCTGTGAGTGGCTCTCTCTTCTTGTTTGCATGTTTTACAAACACGGTGAGTTATTTCTTACTCACTTCAAAACTAACAGGCTTTTTTCCCCAGTTTTATTATAGCATATCCAACAACTCTTTGGAAAATAATCCAAATCCTCAAAGCCCCTAAAAGAGGAGATTTTAAGACCCAAAGCTTCTCTTGAGTATGCTCTTAAGACTAAAAGCAATGTGAAATTCACCTTGGTAAATGTGGTTGTCTGCCATCCAAGCTTGCTGTCTCAGACACAGCGAGAACCAAGCAGAAGGAATGGAACCAAAAGAACCATTCCACTCACCAGTTCAGACCTCTGCCTTCAGCCAGCACTCCCTGCAGCTCCACGATTCCACCCAAGGCCACTGAACTCCCTGACATCCACCCCAGGTGTAGCTGCTATAATGGCACTTAAGTCATACTCGTTTCACAGGTATGAATGCATCGTCACCTCCCGGCAGCAACATTCATTTCAGAGCTTGTCAAAATATTTTGCTGTGAGTATTTGTTCAGCAGAAGCTGGTGGGAAGCATTTTGATGACTACAACAGAATTTTTGTTAGCATACATTTCTGTCTGTTTGGTGTAAAACAATTTTTTTCTCTTCCCTTTTATCTCCATTCATATCTCCTCCCTTTCTTCTATGCCAAAGGAAAGATGAAGGATGTAGATAAATGTGAGAAGTGAAGGTTTGCATGGAAAACATCTAATTAAGTAACAAATACCTTGTGATGTTTTTCAATATTTATTAAAAGAAAAAGAATCATCTTAGCATCTAGTTTGCCCATGCTATATGAAACTATTGCATAACTGCCCTGTGTACACATCTGAGAACAAATATGTTCCCTTTCATCTGCTGAGTGAAAAGCAGATAGAAATGCTGCTTCAGTCCAACAAGAAGAAGTGAAAAATGGTACCCAGGGAACAAGAGATTTTGAGACCACGCCGTATTTAATTTTTCCAAGGTTTGGTTCTGCAAATGATTATTTTGAAAGTGAAAATGTTCATAGACATGGAAGTAGTAGGTCTTAGCTGCCTTTGACCTCTGCGGCATGTCAGTGTAGAAAACAAAGTGGAAACCATTTGTCAGTGGTCTTCCTGAAGACAGAGAGAAGCAAAAGGAATGCAAAAGTGACTGGCAATAATTCACAACAGTAAAGTCCTGCAAGAAGGAGAAAGTGGTTCCTCTCTCAAATTTTGGCCAGCTCTGCAGCCTCGAGGAGATTCCTGCTGGTCCTAGAAAAGATTGGGATCAAACAGGGACCAAACAGGCACCAGTCCTCTGTCTGGGCCAGATTTGGGTTCCTTTTCTCAGCATAGATGGATTGATTTAAGACATGATGGAATAAGGAACTCCAAAAGGTTTGGTTTTGCAGTCTCTGACTGGAAAATACCCAATTTCTCAAGCAGCAGTAGGAAGGGCTGCTTGTTAAGAGGAAGAATCTACTGCCATTAAATGGATCAGCAATGGAAATGCGTCTGCCTTTAACTAGAGAGAGGGAATTCAATGCTAAAGGCCAAGAACTGCAGCTCATATACAGACAACTAGATGATCTTATAGGTCGTTTCCAACCTTGTGATTCTATGAACTACTCTGATGGGTGGTTGTGGGCACTCACTGTGGTGTACAAAGCCAGCCTTTCCAGCAGGTGCCGAGGGCCATAACACAACCATGTTTCCAAACACACAGATCCTCACAAACATTTTTAATCAACTCAATTGATTCGTTGTTATTTCCTCTAGTCCTCCTAAAGGTCATTTTAGTCACAATTCACAGAAATGCTTGACAAAAATTCTGAAGTCACTCCATCTTCAAGCCACGACTAGAGTGATGTGAATTTTTCTGCATACAGGAAGGGGCTATAAGCTACTTATATGCTTCTGATGGGCAATTACAAGTCTCAATCAGTGACTGCAAATTCCTTGAGATCTTCAAATGGAAGATAAAACAGATCTTTGTCTATTATTTATTTACTTATTGACTTATTATTTATGTATCCCTAAGCAGCTCCACACTGCCAAACCGTATTTCTCTTGGCGTCTTTCAGCTTGTGACATTTATATTTTATTATTGACCTCACTAAATGACATAAAATATAAGTCCTACCACCTATGAAAATAAGCGTACTCCAGCTCGGAGCTTCCCTTCTACCTACTGTAGGTATGGAGGAGTTGGACTATCTGGTGTTATTAAATCTGTTATTTGGGTGGGGAGGGGCTGGCGGCAGGAATTCTCCTTCCATCTCAAGGCAAGCATAAATATTTCAAAGCACACATGATTCTAATTCCATTGAAGCTCACTTGAAACATCCTGACTTTTTATTGCAAATGAGATGATAATGTATGGTGGCCTGCAATAGATATACCAGTATTTTAATACTATTGCTATTGGGCCAAGTAATTACGCAGTACAGCTGTTGCATACTATACTGGATTTTTGAGCATTTTATGAGTTTGTGGTGCCGTGCTGCATAAAATAAGAAGGTTTCTCAGCATCTTTCCCTGCAGCAGTCCCACTAAAGACCCATGGGATCCTTTCTCCCATGAGCACCAGCTGATGTGGCAAAGGGACTTTGTGGTCACACCTGTAGCGCTCGCACTTCTCCACCAGCACAGTCTAACACACGGGAAAGACATACTGATCCATTCACCTTCCATCTCCTCTTCCAAAAATCCTTGCCAAGCCCCTTCGCATCCAGATGATTAGGATGAAACTCCTTTTTTCATAAAGTCGTCTGAAGTCAATAAAGGGGTCGTTTTGTGTTGCCTTCTCCAGCTGGGAAAAGACCCTGCACTCCTCACCTGTTCAAGGAATTAGAGGTCTGGGGATGCAATCCCACTGTCCCTTCAGTGGGCCAGCTTTGCTAGGGCGCAGTGAGGAGATACCTCCTGTGTAAAGTGATGGTTAAGTTTACTAACAGCTCATTAAAGATTGATCAGTCTTCCTAGAAATAGTAACATTATAATCATAATGAAACAGGATCACTTCTATCAGCCTGTTTTTGAGCCCATCATAATTGGCTTCATTACAATTAAGAAAGCATTTTTTTTTAAAGTCATTTCCCTGGAAATGTGATGGAACAGTTTGTTCTGCTAGATATTTCCACTTCAGGCTTCTAGGTTGCTTTAACTCCCTGCATGCTGCAAGCCTTCTGCTAGCATTTAAGTGATGCAAGTGCCAGTTCAAATTATGCAAGATGTATCCCACCCTTTGTACCCCAAAGGTACTTACTCTCAAAATTGACCATATTAGAGGACTAATTGGCTAAGCCACCATGCTGGCTGATGTGAAATG